CAGGCCTGCCCCCTCAGTTCAGGGTGCCAAAGTGAGAGAGCTTTCAAGTGAAAAGTCATGGAATGCCAGGATCCGCTGTGGATAATGCTCTTGTACACTGCCAAGAATTGGTTTAATAAAACGCTGATTGGCCAGTAGCCAGGCAAGAAGCATAGGCGGGGCAAAAAGACTAGGAGATTCTGGGAAGAGGAAGGGCGGAGTCAGGAGTTGCCAGCCACCCACAGAGGATGCAAGATGAGAACGCTGCACTGAGAAAAGGTACCAAGCCACACGGCTGAACATAGGTAAGAATTACGGGTTCAGCTAAGCATGAGAGCCACCAGCCAAATATTTATAATTAATATAAGCCTCCTGTGTGGTAATTTGGGAAGCAGTTCCAGAATGGGGCAGGACAAAGACTCACCTCCCACTACATGTGGCACCCAAATGTTTGGCAAGAATTTCCACATAAAATCAGACAAAAGCTTAAAAGACACAAAAGAACAGAGTCTCAAACAGGATTTTCTTGGTAACAGCATTTTCTCAGATGGGCTTCTGGCTAGCAGAAAAGAGGCTCCTCTAAGAGACAGCTTCCTGACTCAGTGTTAGCAGCAAATAGCACTCAGCTCTTTTAAGTGACCCTGCTACTAATCAGTTATGTGACATTTATGAGAAGCCAGCGGCATGAACGTAAAACCTCCCCAGAGTTGGGGGCGAGACATGTGGTCCCCACCAGTACCTCCACCATGAAGCCAAGGGGAATGGGGAAGCCAAGGAATGGGATGGAGCTAAGCACTTTAATCCTAGCCACACCTGCTTAGCAAATTAAATGCTCATGTGGTCAAAATAAGAAAGAGATATGCAATAAAGATAGATCCAGATTTGAAAAGCAAAAACTCTAAATGGTTTACAGTGTTTTTAAAAATATACACAGGCTTGGGAGAGTTTAGAGAAGGTATAGACAGTCTATATATATATATATATATATATATATATATATATATATATAGTTTTAAAATAACCTATTAAAGTCCTTAGAAAGGTGATGTTTTGTTTATGACTTAATAAAGCTTGCCTGAAGATCAGAGTGCAAACTAGTCACATTAGCTATCCATAGAGGTCAGGAAGCGGGGGGGCACACACCTTTAATCCTAGCAGCCACACTAGTTAGCCATAGAGACCACTGATGGCACACCTTAAATTCCAGCACTGGGGAGACAGAGGCAGATGAACCCCTGTGATTCAAGGCCACCCTGGGCTACATGAAAGTGAATCATTCTAAAAGAGAAACAGAGCTCACACCTTTCATCCCAGCAGTAGGGAGGCGGAGACCGGGATGATATGGCTGGGGGGAGAGAGGAGTATTAGGTGGGAGGAGCAGTCTAGGCAGCATGAGGAGCAGTGCAGTTGGGAGATGCAATCAGAGGACACCTGATTAACCCCTTCAGTCTGAGCACTGGTACAGGTGAGAACTCTCCAGTGGTTGGCTGATTTGTTTCTCTGATCTTCAGCTTTAACCCCAATATTTGTCTCTGGGTTTTTGTTATTCATGCTATAAGGGAGTAAAGTAATATTTTTTTAAAAGGCATGTAAAGATGGAAAATACACAGAGAATCTGGATACTATATGTTATCGTGTTGTCTTTAAATTGTTAGACAGCTGAGGAAGGAGCAACAGCTGCTAAAAGACATGATTACAAATGCTGCTGGGTTAATCCAACCTATATATTTTTACAATGCCTTGACTTCAAAATTTAAGTCAAAAGATGTGTTTCTTTGGAGAAGAGGATATGTTTTTGTTTCCACAGGAAATGAGAGGGTGTGCATTCATTCCAGGCACATGCTCCAATGTCTCAGAGTGCCTCTGTTACAGTTTCCTCTGAGCTCTACATCCATAATGGCTTCAAGGTGATCAGGTGAAATGATCTAGCCTCAAAGAGTACTCCAGTCAGGACTTGACCACAATCCTAAATTTTCTCAGGGTCCCCAATCAGCATAATCCATTCTCCCCAAAATGGATCAGGGATGTTTTTCTTTGTTTAGGGGGTCAGTTACACATTGTTATTGGTCACAGTCAATGTCTTTCTAGAGAAGAAAGGGAGTATGATATATAAATAAAGGGGAAAATGGTAGATTATTAAATCTAATCAAAAAACAACTGTTAATCTTATATATTTTACATTGTATAGATTTTAGTTTAATGATACAAACTTAAAGTTAATTTTGTTATACTGTACCTACTCTTGTTCAAGGCATTGTGTTTACACAGCTGAATTTTAAAATGTAATGTATAATTAAATACAGATTAATAGGTAGATAGTCATTTATAATAGTCAAAATTATAATCATGTTACTTAGGTTTTCTAGGTATACCAAGATATATTTCAGATAGATAGGCAATCTTCCAATACTTCAAAGACCTACAGAATATGGCATTTAAAAAGGTTTTAAGAACTCGGACTTTTCTCGACAGTGAGATATGTCTGCTCCTGGTAGCACCAATCTACTTCATAGAAAATGAAGGGAACTAAAGAAAACTCAATATCGAGTTTACTTTCTTTGTGGCAAAAGTTAGCCACTGGGCAAGAAACTGCCCTCGCCTCGACTGCTGACAGTTGCTGTCCAAGTAGGACATGCCAGACACCAAAGAAAAGAATGCTGAACTTTGCCAAGACAAAGTAGGACAGCCCTTCAGAAAACCCTGCTTCACAGGTAAGTCTGTCAGATGTGGTGGGCCTGTAGGCCAAAGATGGATGCCCCAGTGTTGTAGAGGAACATTGGGTGACTGTCCAGACAGTCTGATGTCCCTGTCATTAGGTAACATTTCACCTTTCTGGAGTCTTTGATGTAGTTGAAGACTAAATAAGGATAATTATAGTTTTCCTTAGTTATAATAGAAAGTAAATTAGATACAAAACTCACCAAGATAGATAATTATTTTCTCTAACTTTGTCAAATGCAAATGGATTGGATAGTGTTGCTGGAATTCTTACTTAGTAACTTTTTGTTCATATAGTTTTACTATATTAAGGTTAAAACCTTGCTTTTTATTAGACAAAGGAGGGGGAATACTGTGGGGTAATGCTCTTGTACACTGTCAAGATTTGTCACTAGAATGGTTTAGTAAAACCCTGATTGGCCAGTAGCCATGCAGTATATAGGTAGGGGGAGAAGACTAGGAGATTCTGGGAAGAGGAAGGGCGGAGTCAGGAGTTGCCAGCCAACCACAGAGGAGCACTGAGAAAAGGTACCAAGCCACACGGCTGAACATAGGTAAGAATTACGGGTTAAGTTAAACATGAGAGCCACCAGCCAAATATTTATAATTAGTATAAGCCTCCTGTGTGGTAATTTGGGAAGCAGCTCCAGAATGGGGCAGGACAGAAACTCTGACTACAGGATCCTCTCCCATTCCCTGTCAGGGGTAGCTTAGCTGATGGCTGCGGCCCTAAAAAAGAAATACCACAACTGATATTAAGTCTTATCTGAAGTTAATTTTAGACCTTTTTACCATTAAAATGCATAACGATGTCTCCCTCCTCTTTAGTGTCACCTGCGTCCTCCCTTAGAGCCACCTCCCTCTAGTTCACATCCCCTTCAATTACAACCCTTTACACCTGACAGCCTAAAAAGCTCCTAGAACAGTGGTTCACAACCTTCCTAAAGCTGCGACCCTTTAATACAGTTCTTCAGGTTGTGGTGACCCCCTGCTAACCATAAATTTTGCACCTACTTTGTATCTATAATTTTAAAACTGTTATGTATCATGATGTCAATATCTGATATGCAGGATATCTGATTTGTGACCCCTGTGAAAGGGTCATTTGAGAAACTGCTGTCCTAGAAAATTGTTGGGTCCCTGGCTCTGATGGGCTGACAGGGAACTGTCCAGGAGAATAAGTTCCCAGACTGTTCTGGAGACAGCAGGAAAAGCCTGTCCCAATTTTCAAACGTGAAGGTAGAACTGACATTGTGACTTCTCTCTGATTACTCTGAAGAATGCTCAGGCAGAACTATGAATAGCTTATAACCTTCCTGTTTTGAAAACAAACACACACTGCAGTGTGACTGAGTTCACAGGAAATACGCTGCCTATTTGCTAACAGCCTGGGCGCATAAGACCCTCCCTGTCTCAGAAACATGCGCCATTCAGAGCAGAGCTTTGCCAGGGAAACCATGGCTGAGATGGCTGCTTGCTCTATGCCCCATCCTTCCCCACAAATACCCTGCTTCCGGAGCTCCAGTTGGCTAGAACTTGCTGTTCTCTTGGGAAGCCTGCCAGAGCCTTCCTATTTCCCGAGAGCTTTTCTTCTACCTCTAAATAGAGTCATTCAAAACCGGATGTTCCACAGAGCTCTCGAGGACTCCTGCCTCGGGCCCCCATCCTGAAACACAGGCCTCTCCCCTCTTCTGGACTGTGGGCCAACTGTACCTCAACCCAACCTCTTCCTTGGTGGGCACTGGCCCCAGACCAGAGGGCGGGTGGCAGAGAAACTTCAGTAGGCAACAGAGCTCCCTTAAACTTTCAGCAACCTCCACTTGCAATTCTCCCTTCTCCCTGTCCCTGGTCTTGCTGACCTGGAATCTTGAGACAGGTTGGAACAGCCCATCTAGGAAGTTCTTGCTCAGAGATCACAGAGTGATGGAAAAGCAGCTGGAAGGATTGTCAACACTTTTCTTTCAGTGTGTGGTTTATTCATCATTTCATGTGTCCACTTTCTGTTCAACAAGGCAACCCTCTCCAGTAGCCATCTTAGGCTAGGGCTTCATCAACAAGTACAATGGGCAAAAACACCTTCCCTGTGGACCCAACACAGTGATGGATGTCAGCCATCTTGAAACAAAGAAGGTCTGGAAAGTCACTGGAAACAAGGAAAAGCACAACCCCAAAGCTGCTTCCCCTAGAAGGATGCATACTTTGACCTGTCACAATCAAAGGTCATCCAGGCTTTTAGGCATGAAACCCAAATCCAGCAATCAAAGAGGCAGAAAACCCAGCCAAGAGTGAAATGGCTTAGGAGAATGGGCACTCCCAAGTGTGACTTTGGATTCTCCACTGTGGTAGCTGCGCACAGGTCAGGGCCCCATCTGCTTTTGCTCAGTTCTGTGAGGCAGGCAGGTGGGCAGGCACTAACAGGGGCTGTCATTGCTTTCCTCAAGGGCTGTGGTGATGTCTTGTCAAAAGCAAAGCCCAGCTTCCTGTGGACCCCTCCTGTGTGCTGGGGGGTCACAGTGCAGCCTCATCAAAGTTCTGGTGACAGCTTCTTCGACATTTTTTTGCCAATTTCTTTGCTTCCAGCTTATCTGTCTCATGCATTGGATCTGTGCACATACATTTGTAATTTTTAAATTTTTATTTATCTTTATTTATGTGTGTGGGTGTGTGTGGGGGTGCATCCACAGCACACGTTTAAAGATCAGGGAACAACCTCTGAAAGTCAGTTTTATTCATCAACTATCTATTCATCAACAAACATACTGTGAGGACATGCACGAGCACTCATAGGATGCTGGGGTGCGGGTGGTAATGAGATCACCTTGCACAGCACAAACCTGAGAGGCTCACCAGAAGACCAGAGAGCCAAGAGCTGTTAGATAGGCCCCGGTCGAGGCCCTCCCAGCTCGTTTGGCCTCAGCATTCCTTCTGGGGTGGGGAGGTAGTTGCACTGTGCCGGGCACTGCCTTATCAAGAATCAAAGATTTGTTCTGAAGAAACAGTTAGTGCATTTGAGACGAATAAATAGAACTTTCCAAGGCCACTGGCTGGGGAGGAGCTGGGGAGGTTGTGAGCAGAGTTAGCAGCCTGGGCAAAGAGAGAAACGGTGAATGGCAAGGCTCTGAGAGGGCCAGTTAGTGATGCTGCTGGGAGTCCCAGTGTGGGGGTGGGGTGTCTCATTGGTGGCCAGGCACTAGAGGTACAGAGGGTGTAGAACCAGGAGGCTTTGCCAACAGAAGCTTAGGCTTTATCCTAGAGTAAGCAAGCATTCAGGACTATGAATCAGTTCTGGGAGGCATGTACATTCCTGCACGAGTGCTCAAATGCATTCACACACACACACACACACACACACACACACACACACACACACACCCATAAGACAAATTCAAAATTTACTTTCATTCTCATTGCACTGGACATAAACTATACTCCTGGGTATTGACTTATTTGCGGTATCTGGAAGATTTCCAGGTGTCTCCCAGCTTAAGGCTAGTCACTCAAACACCCAATCCTACGCTCTCAAGCTTCAGTGAGTTCCCACAGTGTCCTTGCTGGTATGCCCGGGCCGTGCTGTTTCTGACATCCCACAGCTGTGCTCTCTGTGGTCCTATGCTGACTTTGCCTTACGTGGGTGACAGAAAGCGATTCTGTTTCTCAGTCCCTTTCAGAGAAAGCTTAGCATCCCTCCCCCACTCTTGGAGGATGACTACCCACCTATTCACACCCCACTCTTGGAGAATGAACACCCACCTATTCACACCCCACTCTTGGAGAATGAACACCCACCTATTCACACCCCACTCTTGGAGGATGAACATCCACCTAGTCACACCCTACTCTTGGAAGATGAGCACCCACCTATTCACACCCTACTCTTGGAGGTTGAACACCCACCTATTCACACCCTACTCTTGGAGGATGAACACCCACATATTCACACCCCACTCTTGGAGGATGAACACCCACATATTCACACCCCACTCTTGGAGGATAAACACCCACCTATTCACACCCTACTCTTGGAGGATGAGCACCCACCTATTCACACCCCACTCTTGGAGGATGAACATCCACCTATTCACACCCCACTCTTGGAGGATGAACACCCACCTATTCACACCCCACTCTTGGAGGATGAACATCCACCTATTCACACCCCACTCTTGAAGGATGAGCACCCACCTATTCACACCCCACTCTTGGAGGTTGAACACCCACCTATTCACAGAGGGTTGTGACAGGGGGTGAGGCTAACAGGCTGGGGAATATCAGTTCAGCTATCTGGGTGGGTGTGGCCAAGCTTCCTGACTCACTGGCAGAGGATGAGTAGACAGGGAAGGAACAAAGCTAACCCTGTACCACCACCATGGGCGTGGCACTTCACCCTGGAGATAGCTACACATACCTTTCAAACCACTCAGCCTCAGAAAAAAAGAATCTCATCCCTGTGATTGCCACAGCCAGTTCTAGTGTGAACTTCAGCATTAGACAGGGACAGATTACTGTAAAGTCAATAGTGCTTAAGGTCCAGGGACCATGGAAGGACTCTGGCAATGGAGCCATAGCAATACACATGGCAGATAGACAGTGTGTTAGTCTGCCTGTGCTGTCATAACCCTTAAACAAGTCATGTATTTGTCACAGTTCTAGAGGCCGAGACATCCACAGATGAAGGGCTGGGTAATTTGGTTCCTAGTAAGGATGCAGGGTTAATACTGTTGGTCAGTGTGACAGGGGCAGCGTGACAGAGACAGCGTGACAGTGAAGAGACTGTCTTCTGAGTATGTCTGTGAAGGATTTTTTAAAATCCAACTTTTATTTTCAATAGTCCCGTGAAGGATTATTTTGTTCAGGTTAACTGACAAAGGAAAATACATCCTAAATGTGGGTGGTGCCATTCCCTGGGCTGGGGGGCAGAGCAGCATGAAGTGGAGAAAACCAGCTCATCCCCAGTGTCCTTTGACAGCGGATGAATATGAGCAGTGCCTCAGGCTTCCGCCTCCCGTGACATGGTGGGTACCCTGGAGCTGTGAGCCAAATAAAGCCCTGCCCTCATTAAGTTGCTTTTGTCAGAATATTTTGTCACAGAAGCAGGACAAGTAACTAATACAAAGGACTCTTCTGCCTTGCAGACAGCCACTTTCCCAGTGTCTTCACACTGGGGAGGAAGAGCTCTTTTCTCTCTTCCTCTTCAGATGCCTTCATGGGGGTCCTGTACTCATCACCTCATCTAATCCTAATCACTTCCAAAGAGCCCATTTCCAAATGACACACTATTGGGGTGAGGGCTTGAATACGTGAGTTTAAGAGCAAACAGCCTATGGCATTATATACACACATCACAATTCCCCTACAGGAAATGTATGCAGATGCATAACATGTAGAATATAGACATATACATATGTTGAGAGAAAGTTGGTATCCCTCTTTCTGCTTTCTGTCCCATTATTATGCTTCCCCCTCAGGTAAGGCCATCCTGGAGTAATGACAGACATCTTGAGGACCCTGTCAAGGAGAAGTTGTCAGAAAAAAAAAAAAAACATTGGATGTGAGTTTGTGATCAGGATGGGGAGGGCATGAGGTCCACTCTGCCAGCTCCCTCAAGGCCCAGCCCTGCAGGCACAGAGGGATGCTCAGAGGAGAGGAATGTGGTCCAGGGCACCCAGCCCTGAAAATAGTCCAGTAGAGGATTAAGATGGATGAAGCCAGAGCATTTTTTATGGGGAAACCCTTCTCACTCAGATATGAAAGCACCCTTTGTGGAGAACCCTCTGGCTTTAACTGCTGTCCTCGGGACGCACAGCACACTGCCAACAGTGAGTCTGAAGCTGCAAGGAATTTCCCTGTCCATAGCTGATAAAAGCACACTTCCAGCACCTCAGAGGGAGACAGCTATCTGTTCTCTCAAAGCAACGAATGTGGTCCGAAGCTATGAAGAAAACTGCTAGCAAGGTAATGGGCAACAAGTTGGTTTAAATATTATTTTTCTGACCCCTGTGTCCCTGGTATTCTCCATAAACAGTTCCTCATAATCTCCTTCGACATTCTAAATGTAACTTTTCCTCCCACCTTGCTCTCTTTCACCTGCCGGGGGTCTTCCCTGATGGCCCTGGTCAGGGTCATGGGTGGTCTGGGAACTGGAGCAGCGTGCTGGATGGAATATCAGCACTTACTTAGAACCTCCCCTCCACACCTCCCCTTTTACAGAAGAGGAAACAGATCCAGAGAAGCAGAGATACTTGTATAAGGTCACACCGTAAGCTGAAGTCAGAAGTGGAACACAGGACTCGGGCTCTTAGTCCAGTGCTCTTTACATAACTATACCTGTGGTTTTCACGATTCATTATAAGCAACCAAACTGCTAAAGAAAACTTTCCGTTTTCTAAGGTGTGCCTGTCTTCAGGCACAACTCTGCCCATAGTTTTCCGACATGGGTGCTTCAAAATCACTCCTGTTTGAAAGCAGATCTTTAGGCCCCATCGGAGAGACAGTGATTCCTTAGAACTAAGATCCAAGATTAGAAACTGGTGATTTTAGGAACTTCTCCCAGAAAAACTGGGCAGGCTGCAAATGAACCAAGTCTATTCAGCCCAGAGTTCTTACTCCTCCATCTCCCACACCCCATGTCCCCTCCAACCCTCCCCTCCAATTATAGTGGGGAAGAGAGCACTAGCTCTTTTGCTGACTTCTTACTGTCCTGCCTTTGAATATACACTCTACTGCAGGGGAATCCTGAGTTTAAGTCCAGCCTGATTTGCTTGCAAAGCTGCTGTTAAGGGGAAATACAGAGTGGGCTCCAGGAAACCGCCTAGAATCTACACAACAAATAGACTTCAGATTCCATGTTGTTTTTGGAGAAACTACTCTTGGAATTCCTCAGGGTTTACTGGTCTTCCAAATGAAATATAAAATCTGGACCTTGTCACATCCAATTTCATTAATGACCATGGGGACAACCACAAGGCAAATCAGGGATAGCTGGTGTTACTAATTTTGACTGAGGGATTTAACAGTTTTGATGCTAACTAACAAGGACACAATCTGTTTGCTCCAGATGTCAGGAGTCTTGTGAGATTTGGCAAAGTCTGGACAAGCACTATTGATTTCCAAACAAAGCAGATGACATTGGTGGCCTTAACAATCAGGGTCCCTAATGAGGAACCAGCCTGCCTTCATCTTAGGCTTAAAAGCCATCTTATAGTAAAGACAAACTATGTTCATTTCTATTTATGATCAAACCTGTTTCTCAAGGATTGGGCTATGCCCCACCTGTAACCTTAACTACTATGGTTCTACATGGCCGGTTCTAGGAATGGAAAGCATGTCTTTGTTTCAAAAAGTTGCTTATAACCATCTTGCAACCCTACCTCTGTTTCAAAAGGTTCTTGGACAACCTATGACTACCTTGTCCTGACTACCTACCTGTTGCTATGACTACCTTGTTATGCCCACTTTGCAACCCTGTCTTTGTTTCAGGAGGTTGTTAAGACTAACTTGTTTTAATGTTCTGCTCCTGTAATCCAGCCTCTTTTGCTCACCAAATCCCCCATTTGGAACCCCCCTATTTCTGAGTTATAAACTCTTGTCTTCCTCACCACCACCGCTAACGTCTCGAATCCCAGCTTGGGGAGAGACAGCCTGTGAACAGGAATAAAAAAGCTTGCTTTAGTTAACTGTTGGATTTAAATAATTTGGCCATGATGATTTGGATCAGTGGTCTTTCTCCTTCCATTCTGGGGACTAACACTGCATCAGCTTAAGTTAGGAGAAGGGCTCTCCCTCAGTGCATCGAGATAATGTATGCAAAACTGCGGATCCCTGAAGGCTGTGTATGCCTGGTGTTTCCATTCGTGTGTGTGTGTGTGTGTGTGTGTGTGTGTGTGTGTGTGTGTGTGAAGTCTGATCTAGAAGCCTCCAAAAAGTAAACTAAATCTGATCAATTGGTGTCCCCTAAACCAGCTGGTGCCCCCAAAAGCACATGAATGTGGACCCAACTAATAACTCAGCCCAAAGGAACCCTTCAGGCACTACAATTCTGTTCTTACATAAGCTGAGAATGGTTATCAGTGGTGATGTGACGGCTTTATTGGTAACAATCAAAATTGCCAAAAACAGCTCTCAGAGGTGCACAGGTCTTCACATAAAATTCCATAGGGCTTCCAGGGATGTCCGGAGCTCTTGAAAAGCCACCCAAAGGCCTTCTGTTTCTCTACCTACCTACCCAGGGGGCTTGTCATCTTAAATACATAGCTAATTTACTTTCTCTGACTTTTCTTCTTCCTCCATGCTCAGTGTCCTACATTTTAGTCCAAGAGGGGAGCCAAGCTAGGCAAAGTGGTGCATGGCTATAACCCCAGCGGGTTGAGAGAGAGGCTGAGACTGTGGAAACAAAGGAAAGGAAAGGAGAAAGGAAAGGAAAGGAAAGGGGAGGGAAGGAAAGGAAAGGAAAGGGAAGGAGAGGAGAGGGGAGGGGAGGGGAGAGGAGGGGAGGGGAGGGAAGGGAAGGACTCAGTTCTAAAGATGAATCTGTGTTCAGGAAGCAATCCCATCTGGGCCTCTCAGTCATGGAGGCTGATTCTAGAGACAGCACTGTCACAGGATTTGAGAAAGACCTTGCTTCATTCTCAGAATTAACATAAGAATTAATTGGATCTGTGATTCTGTCCTGGCAGAGAATTCCAGAGACCCATGATTCATTGGCTCAACAATCATAGGTTCCATTTCGGAATCTCCAATGATAAGAACACTCACTCTCTGGCTACGCACAGGGAAACGATGGCCTGGTACATCTGCCCTTGCAAACTAAGCCCATTTAGTCAACCGTGAAGACCACATCTTGACGGTAGGCATCTCAAAGTGTTCCACAGCCTCTTCAACAAGCGGAAGTCGGAGTCCTGCCTTTTCACTGGTGACACACAGAGAAGTATGCCAATTCCTGCCACAAAAACAAGCGGGTCACCATTTCTACCCAGAGGACCCTACAATGTAACCAGGAAAGCAAGACACAACACACCTGAGAAGTGCCGCAAAAGAGGGACAAGCAAAGCCACAGGGTTTCAGGTGTGAGAAATTACATCTGGGTGCAGTAACCTATGAGGGTGGATGGGAGTGCTCTGTGAGCCTGGGCACTCCGCACACACAGTGACTGGATCTGCCTTGCATTTCTCCAGTTACCCATGCAATAAAGTTGTCTTGCTAGTGGAGCCCACAACACAACTTCTGTTAGCTCTGTCACCAC